AACGATACCACGTAGCGTAAACGGTGACGGACGTTGAACGTAATCGCGTTGTCTTATACTTATATCTAATACTTATATCGAATACGTTTGAATGCAAATCTTAAGATTGGAATGCTACGTTATTTCGAATGGCGTTATTCGACTTTCAATCGGAAAGATACTCAAACGCAACGTCTTACCCCGGGTGACGATGGTTTCGTCAGCGCTCCTGAACGAGTCTCGAGGAGGACGATAGCAACGGGAGAATCGGCGGTGCGACGAGGAAGATCCCGATCGTGTAAGCTCGCGACGGAATCGCCGTTGGTAGACGTACTGGGTGGGCAGGGGTCGGCAGGGACGAGCCGCGTATGAAAGAGCGAGACACGACGCGCCGTTTCTCTTTTCCCGAAGGCTCGAGCGCGACAAGGACGCGCCGACGAAACGATACGAGCGCCACCGAACTCGTTCGAGACGCGCCGGACAGCGATCGTAGGAGGAAGACGGAGCTTACGGAGGCTGCGGAGAAGAGAGGAAAGCTGTGCCGCACCAGTGGGGTAGCGCAACGCAGACGGAAACGGCGGAGACGGCGGAGGGAGCGCGAAAGAGAAAGGGAGAAAGAGAATGCCTCCCGCTGCCAAGCTGACCACCGACCCTCTACGAAGGTATACACGAAGGAAGAGAGAGACAGATGCGGCGAGGACAGGTGCGAGAGAGCGACCGCGTTTTATCACACTGACGGGACTCGCTGCGTACGTGTGAGCCATGCGGATACCACGAGGTGTAACATCGGTATTTCCGAGGCGACGGTGTGCGTTCGGTATACTTGCACGTATACTCACGTATCGGTGAGATATCTCGAACGCTCATCTTTGACCCGAGGATTTTGTATAAAAATTAGACTCAAAATTTCGAGAAAGAAAACTCCTTGAAGCTCTCGCTCTCTCGTCCCTCAGTCGTACAAAAGATCGAGCTCGAGAATCGAATATCTTCTTTTCGAAAGAGCAACATATATATATATATAGCTTATCGTACCGGATCGCTTGAGGAACGCTCGATGTTACATCGATCAAGATTCTTTTTTTTTTTCTTTCAACTGCAACTCGCGTACGTTACGGAGCATCGCGAGGCTCTCGTGTAATTAAGCGTGAATAAACAAGGCGAGCGGACCTATAATTTAGTCGGTCAGGACGGAAGAGGTGCGAGCGAGACGGCGAGCGTGCTCGGTCATGCGCGATCGCCGGCAAAAGAGAGGCTCCGGTACCCTTTCGATACGCGAAACGAGGACACGCACAACCTCGCCGTCTCTGTATTGCGCGCGTATGGGGCGCCCATATCTGTGGTGGTGAGAAGCGCCGGCGGCGGGGTTGTAGTAGTACGCCGAAGAAAAATCGCCGCGAGTCTGTAGACGCCTGTATGTGCGTACTAAGGGGTTGAGAACGGTATGTGGTAGTGAAAGGGTTGCTGGACAGTGGCGAGCTCCTGCTTAGGTGGTCGCCGGCGGAACTAACGAGGAAAGGGGTTGGAATCTATCACCTTTGCTCTAATGATCGCACACTGCGCTTTAGTCCTTTCGTATTTGCTACGCCAGCTCCATGTAATTGGAATTGGTTACTTTTGAAGAATTTCATATGATTTTCATACAATATTTCTTGACCTGTAGATGAAAGTTAATCATTATGATAATTGAAATATATATCTAAATAATCGACGCTATTTTGTATCATGTTAAAGCATGATCATCCACCGAGTATAATTATTCGTCAAACGTAAATAATGAAAAGTTTGGAATAATATCTCTAATTAAGGGCCAAAAGCTTTTTCTTGTATTTTCCTCGTATGTTACGATGCATATCAAATATCAAAATTAACGTCAAAAATGAAACGCCTATGAAAACGCGAGAGGACATGACGGTTTTCTGACAATATTTAATTTAATTTTTTTTTGTTTACTGCATAGCCGGAACTACAATCGTTTAAGCTAAAATTATTGACTACAAACGACATATTTTCCTCAAAGGTTCAACATACTAAAAGCGATTTTCCAGTAACAGAGAGGTATTTTCATCGATAGCACGATATGACTATATGCGAATAAACGGGCCAAACTACGAAACAGTGTGCTCGGTTCAGACCTGCGTCTCAGTGTGTTATACCACTTTTTACACACTCCCTCCTCCGCCTCGTTTAACTCCAACCCCGAAAAGCCCACTTACCCAATCATACCCCAATCTACCGCTGGCTCAGCGGCGGCGTGCAAAACTCTCGATCAACCGCCAGTATTTTTATCTCCGCAGTTTTTAAGGTCACTTGTTGCTTCTTACTATGCTAGTGCTGCGAGAAGAAACTCGCCCTCTTTACGAAGACCACGTCTACTTTTTCTCTCAGCGCAACGTTAATAATTGCAGCAGCGAGCGCGGAAAAGTGATATCGTAGCAATTATATCTTACGTGTTTTCAGTCTGAGTGAAATTACGAGCTAAGAGCAATTATTCAAATCTAATATAAGAACGATTATTAGTACATAATATGAAGTAAAATCTTTTTTTTTTATATACAGATATTTTCATAAGCCAATTTTGTTAAAATTGTACTACTTTAGTGACTGCTAAAAATATACGAGAAATACAATTGCGATACATTTTTTAATTCAGTTTCGAATCGATGAACAGTTCTTTATCGTCTTATTCCGTCAATCCTACAATAATACTTCCTCTAATGCCGTGAAATTATTTGTTGCATCCCAATGCGCTTTACGCATCAATTAAAACAACGAATCTCTACGGAAAAGTCGGAATGCATTAACAGGCTTTTCCGCATTCAGTATTTAGCGTGTATTAACGAGGAAATCGAGCTGGGCAACGCTTGCTCGTTAACCTGCTGTAATAATCGCGTCTATATTTGACAAAAGAAGAGAATAAGTAGAGAATGGACCGGTTATAATCAGAACAGCCGCGTACACTTTTAATCCACGATATATTTCTTTATGACGCACCTTGCCGCTTCTCTCTCTCTCTCTCTCTCTCTCTCTCTCTCTCTCTCTCTCTCTCTTCTTTTCTTCTTATTTTTCTCAATATAATCATAATGTTTGCATCCTAGATGCACGCAATTACTCGAGCTTCCTTGGCGCGGCGATGCGCACCCCTCACCCAGTTTCACCCCTTCGCGCCTCTGTTGCAGCTGCGCACGATATCCGATCAGTGTGGCCGGTATTTTTATTCGTAGATTTTAAGGTCACTTGTTGCTTGTTTAGTTATGTCGGGGTACACACGCGCCGTCAACACACCAGCGCATGGATCGGCTGGAACGCGCGCGAGAGAGAAAGAGAGCGAGAGAGCGAGAGAGAGAGAGAGAGAGAACGCGTAAATGTGTGTGCTCGGCGGGGGCGTTCGCTCTGGTGTATCGTAATGCACGTGGACAAAGCAATCCGCCGACATGTGTTGAGGATGCTACATGCAAGCGCTGGATTGTGTACGTGGCATCGGACCGATAGGTGGACGCCCTGTCGATTTCATTTCCCCCATCGGACCGCCGGATGGTAAGGGGGTGCGCCGGCGGGGTTGAGCGTACCACTATTTTTTTCTGGCTTTTTGCCCCTTTTTTCCGGGGCGTCCGGATTTCGCGTTGCGGTTTTTTTGCGCAGCTTTCGCTACTCGCGTGTGGTGCTCCTACTCTTGCATCCTCTCTCTCTCTCTCTCTCTCTCTCTCTCTCTCTCATTTTTCTACACGCGTTTTGCTTCTCTCTCTCTCTCTCTCAGTTGATATCTTTCATTCTCTTTCTCTTTCTACTACTAGCTGCTTCTATCGAAATGTCCCAGTCTCTCTTACTGCTTCTTTTCACACTAGTTTTCTCTCTTTCTCATCGCCTAACTCTCTTCCCTCTCACTCTATTTTTTCTGGCTTTTGCTTTTGTTTTTTGTCAACCACCGTTTGCCGCGTTGCGCGTTCGTTTTGTTTAGTGAGTTATGTCACGGCCACCAAATCGATCTTCGATGTCTGAATACGTGCGGTCGGAATTGCGCTTGTAAAGCAATAAGAATTACGGTACCAAATCTTAGAAAAGTTTAGAACAGCTTCTTATAAAACATACGATTACTAATCAAATTTCATTTCGATTCATCTTCAGACAGGATTATATGCAGGCTTTGAATACCGTATCAAACTCATAGAGAGCACGTATATGATTTTGTATATACAGTATGAAAACATGGAATTTATTTCGCGCAATTTTATAAATATTTTGTAAAATCCGAGAAAAACATTTTCTGTCGAATTA